AAAAAAGTAAATCAGAACTAAAAAAGTGCAAAAACGCAGGCAAATTTGCCTGCGTTGGTCTACATATTAAGGGATAATAAATTTATATAGTAATCTGAGTTACATTTTACTAAGATCATGCACCTGTTGAGTGGCAGATCTTCAATTAAGTTATTCTATCTTGATAAAATTATAAATTATCTATTATTTCTTATTATTAGTTTAAGTTAACCGGAAAGTTAAAATAATTTGTTAATCAAAGTATTCGAAAGCAATGTATATGCTTTTTATTAATAAAAATCTTTTATTCAAGTTGATTCAGTTATGATTCACATATAGATATATTATGTGGTAGGTTTGCTATTATGGAGTTTTGTATACAGCGATTTACAGTACAGTACTATTTACTCGCTTCAATATAGTAGTTTAGACTTTATTACTCATATAAATTAAATTGTAATTTATTAAATTAAATAAAGTATTCTAAATTATCTTAGAATTTTTAATAAATAGTATAAATAATATTATTGCAATTAATATATCTAGATATTGGTTTAACTAGGTTCAATTTAAAAAATTTGATCTTTTAATAAGAGATATCAAGTAGGCTATCTCAATTGCTTTTTATGTATTTTATATATTTTAACTACAATTAATGTTCAAATTCTTTTATACAAGATTGTTATAGTATAATAAATGTTTAATTAACTAAAATAATCATCGCAATTATCAACTATTGATAGAGATATTATGTAGTTTAGTCTTAGATCAATAGACCATAGTCTTAAAACTGATCTAAACTTGGTTTTAAGACCAAACTAAGTTTGATCTAAATTACTCCAAAATAGACTATACTAAACTAAACTAAATCATTAACATCTCTAACTATTGAAATCACTAGTAACTTATAATTCTGCTTAAGAATCCTTATTCAATTTAATAAACTCTTCTATTACTACTAAGCAAATGCAAAAATAAATAGAATTAGAATATTGCATAATATGTAATATTTATTCTTTAGAATAATAATACAAAAATTATTCCTAACTTAGCATTTTTTTTACTTTGATAGTATAAGCCCTCCAAAAAAAAACTTGTAATTAATAACATGTAAATTTCTTTTATATAATCATAATAAAACATAGTTAAATAGTTTTTATACTTGCTTATTACCAATTTAATTTCTATTACTTCTTGAAAATAAGAAATAAGTTTAGGGTGGGAGAAATAGGTTAATATATGTTTTTTTAAATAGAGAAATACATTTAATATAGATTTTTTTAAATTATCATGTAATTATTTGCAGATTAGTAAGATCTAATTCTGCATATCAGTGTATATGTTATAAACTTTTAATTCTTATATTTTAGATACTTTGCTATATTTTTATTTATTTTAAGTTTATAAATTTCTTGTAACCTTGTTTGTAAGGCTATTGCAAAGTCTTTAAGTAATTTTATCTTCATGCTTATATAGAGATCTTTATAGAAAAAGTAGCAATAGGCCAAAAATTTTTATTTTGTAATATTGTAATAATTATATGCTAATTACTCTAATTCTTCAAGAAATTGCATTTTTAAGAAAAAAAATTTTTTTTGGCCTATTGCCAACTTTTGCTATAAAGGTTTCTATATATTGTTTTGCCTATGGTACTTTTTAAGAAAGTGTATAATTTAAGTGCTTTTGTTTAGCTAAATTGTGATACAGAAAATTAGTAAAAAGAGGTGGATGTCGGAAATTTGAGAATATTTATTTAGATGTATCAAGATTATATTTAAAATTTTTAATAATTTAAATTTTTAGTATTGATATTTGTTTATTTGTTAAATTTTATATTAGTTAACAAAGCAACAATAAAAAAAGTTTAATTTTTTTACTAAAATTTTTACAAACTTTAAATGCAGTAGTTTATCTTTAAAGCTAATTTCAAATTTTATAAACTAATATAGTCTTAATTACCAAGCTATTATTAAAAAAAAAAAACCAAACTTTTTTTATAATAAAATTAGCTAATATAATTTTTAAATTAATCTCAATATTTTAATAAATTCTCGATTCACGCATAGTGTAATGCATAAAATTTTTTTATCCTGGTAATTTAAAAGCACTATAAATAAAATTTTAAAATTCAAATAATTTTTTGTATGTATAAATTTACATTATATCAGCTCATTTGACAGATATTATAACATTTATTGGTTATATTTGTGATCCAATCCAAATTTTAAATAAGTAACTTTTATTGTGTCAAAAAAAAATATCGAAAGTCTACTAAATAGCAAAAACTTTTTAAATAGAAGAGGACGAAAATAACATAAATAATGACACAAATACAAAATTAGTAGGCTGAAATACTAGTATTTCTTTGATTAATAATGGAAACGCTAGGATCAATTGCAGCTCTCAATTGAGCATCGGTCCAGATTGGTTTTGGAATGGGGTCATTAGTCCCAACACCAGCTCTTCCACCATCTTTTTTCCAATCACTAACTCTTTTGAAACCGTTCTTTCTCCAAATAGTTTCCAAAGCATTAACAAGATGGTCAGTCATTGTTTCATTATGTCCAGGAGTAGGAGTAATCCTCAATCGTTCTTCACCTCTAGCGACGGTTGGGTAGTTGATAGATTGCACATATATACCATGTTCACGCAACAATTGGTCAGAGGCAACCTTACAAGGTTCAGCTTCGCCTACAAGCACTGGAACAATATGAGATGGATTCGGAATAACTGGAATGTCAAGTTCGGTTAAACGATCCTTAAGTAATCTTGTGTTCAATTGTTGCATCACACGTTCTTTGGTGGATTCTTTTAAATACTGGACAGAAGCCCTAGCACCAGCGGCAATGATCGGAGGAAGAGAAGTGGTAAAAATGAAACCAGGAGCATAAGACCGGATCATATCAACCAAAGCAGCAGAACCGGCAATATAACCACCAACTACACCAAAAGCTTTACCAAGTGTACCAGAGATAATATCAATCTTGTCCAAAACAGAGCCATTGTTATTATGAGGGAAACGAGCATTTAAATCATAATCCAAATGCTCAGACACACCAGCACCACGTGGACCATACATTCCCACAGCATGAACTTCATCCAAAAATGTAATTGCACCATATTTTTTTGCGAGATTACAAATTTTTTCGATATGACCCACAGAACCGGACATAGAATAGACACTTTCAAATGCGATAAGTTTAGGAGTATTAATATCAACAGATTGAAGTTTAGCTTCGAGATCTTGTATGTCATTATGTTTAAAGATAATTTTTTTGGCGCCAGAATGTCTAATTCCTTGAATCATAGATGCATGATTCGAAGCATCAGAGAAAATGACACAACCAGGAAGTTTTGACGCCAAAGTACTTAAAGTCGCATCGTTAGCAACATAACAAGAAGTGAATAAAAGGGCAGCAGGTTTATGATGGAGGTCAGCCAATTCCGCTTCAAGTTGTAAATGCAAAGCACAATTGCCTGCAATGTTACGAGTACCGCCTGCACCAGCACCATATCTGTGCAAGGTATGTCTACATAATTGAATAAAAACGTTTAAATTAATAATCACATACTAGTAAAAAAAAAAAAAAAAAAAAAAAAAAAAATCATGTGAATATGTGAACTTACTGGATGGTATCATGAACTTTGGAATTTCGGCCCATTCCCAAATAATCATTGCTGCACCAGACAGTCACTTCTTCTTGTAAATTAGCAGTATGAGCCTTGGGAAATTGTTGGGCCAATCGATTAATGTTGTTAAAGTAACGATAACTTTTATCTTGATGTTTTTTATCAAGCTCAACTTTATATAAAGCTTCATAGTCAAAGTGTTGAGAATTAGTAGAATGAACTACAGGTTGTTGCTGATTGTACGAATAGGCATTGCGGTGAGTAGTAGTATCTCGACGTTCTTGAATGACTGAAGCTTGTTTCAAGGGAGAAGTAGGTTGTTTCGCCAACCTAGCAGAGGTATGAAGATAGCTCTTGCTTTGAATAGCTAAAGCTTTGCCCATAACGGGACACTTCTGAGCCATAGAAATCAAAGCATTACCACGCACATTACCGGCCTCAGAAAAGCCAGCATGAGCAGGCATACGAGAAAGATTGCGAAGATAAGTAGTAGATTTATTATGAAGGAAGGGACATGCCTTCCTGAATTGACTAATTGCAGCTTCCATCGAAGTAGTTAAATAATAAAATTTTTTTTTCTCTCTTTTTTTTCTTAATAATGCGATTTCGAATTTTTAGATATGAAAAAAAAAAAAGTTTGTTATTTAAAACTTTTTAAAAAGTGTTAGTTTGTAACGCAATGTAACCTAGAGGGAAATAAATCCTGAAACTATTACATTATATAATACGGTATGTAAAATAAAACAACCATTGATAAAAAGCCACCTAGCTAAAATCATCAATCATCCCGGACCAAACTAAATCCTAAATGGGGAATTATATTTAGCGCCCTTTTATAGTAGTCATGTACTATCACCATATGTATATCACTAGAACTTTCACATTGTTCGTTAAACTAAAGTTTCTAATTAAATCGAAATTTTTGCATTGTGTAGATCAAAAAGATCAAAAATTAATCTATTATCTGTAAATGGAGTTATATTCGTTTCTTTAAATGTTTCTTTTGTACCTATCCGGATTTTCAAAATTGTAATTGATTAATTTTTAAATCGGTTATTGTAATACCCGGGCAAAAAATTTTATCCTGTCAAAATTAAAAGCCGAGTTGCCAGGTCTATATTATAAAAGGGATTTTTTAATGTACGTATAAAAACGATTTCCTGATTTATATTCTTTATTGATACTAAATATATATATATTATAAACATTTTTGATACTTCACAGTAACGAATAGAAAGGAGTAATCGATCTATTTAATTTTTATTATAGTAAACTTGTTATGGCTAGACCTAGGATGTTCTCAAGCACCTCACTCAATGAATCGGAGGCAAATTTTTAATTAGTCGGAATTGAATAGATCAACCAAGTGAGTTACCATTTCGATGAATAAATCAGCGAATACAAACCCATCATTTCTTACCATTGATGTATATTTTACATATCGGACTTACTGTAATAAGCAGTGAATTCTCAACAAATTTCTATCCAATCAAAAAAATAACTATTTTATTTTTAATGTTCGAAACTTTTAGAACAAATAATCGATACATTGATACAAATGTAATAAATGCAGCGCATCTTTTAACCTTTAATGTATTTTGCTATTTCAGTTTTGCTATGGACAAAAGTTGGTTTTATATGCAATAGTGTATCGTAATATACCTATACTAGACAATAATTTTAAAACTTTTTACGTGATATATATATTATTATTTTAATAATATTATCAATATTGCTTTTTAATAATAAGCTTCACAAATTACTACGTATTCGGGTTTAAAAAAAAGAGGATTTTATTTGTACCTGGTGGGTAAGTTACCCGGTATATAAAAAAAAATCGCCATCTTAAAATTTTATTATAAAAATTTTTAAGGTTTCATATACAAGATAACTTATTCTATAATAACAAGATTAAATATTTTAAAAAATATATATTTATTGTACGTACTGTATATAAAAAGGTTTAATAATTAATTTTAATATTTTAATATAAATTTTAAACTATATAACTCTTTTTAATTATTTAAATTAATCTTTATAAAGTTATAGTTAATATATATAAAGAAAACAAAAAAATTATTTTTAATTTTTAATACAAGTTTAAAAAATTATTAAAAAATAATTAGCAAATTAGATAAAAGTTTTACTAAGCTTTGTAATAATAAAATAAATATAAAATTATTTTTTAGTTTTACTAAATTACACTAGTGATGTTTAACACTACAATCAATATATTTCAAAAGCTAGCTAAGTAATTAATACCGGATATTTTAAGTAAAAATGCTTAGCATCTCCAAAAACTTTATATTAATTTAAACTTTATCTTTAATATTAACCTTTATCTTAACCTATAACAGCACTCTAACTCAGTGTTGTTAATTTTACCGGCCAACCCAAATTTGTTTGGCCTTTTCAGCCAAAAAAGTGACCAATTTGGCCAAATTGGCTGTTTTTTGGCCGGCCAAAAATGGTTGGACAATAAAAATTGCCAACACTGCTCTAACTAGTGTTAATAGTCTGTTTCTAAATATCGACTAACTAAGCCAATAATATAAAATTCACCTTAGTCGGCTTAGCCGACTAAATAGTGATCAAAGTTCTTTATTATAATTAGCATTTTTTTTTTATCATTATTGGTTTTTTACTAATATGAATTGAAACAATTGCTCATTTCAAAGCACCATACTGTAAACTATAAATGAGCAGCTGACTAATAAAAAATTATTTAAGAAAAAATAAAAATATTCAACTAATCTTTTGTTTAATTATATCTACATTTACTATATATTGAATAAAGAATCTTCAAAAATAGTTTTTCATAGTATTAAATTGAAAATGAATTTTGAGTATGATGAATTTATAGAAAGTTGATTAAGTCGATCTTTGAAAAAGTTGATTGACTTAGCTGACTAAGGGCATTCTCAAGCACCTACCTCAATGGATTAAATAATGAATCTTATTGGCTAGTTTGATCAAACAGACCAATCAGATTTTTTATTGAATTCATTGAGGTAGGTGCTTGAGAACG